CTCGCGGCGCCACCATGCAGGTGTCCAGCCTCAACGAGGTGAAGATCTACAGCCTCAGCTGCGGCAAGTCCCTTCCCGAGGTGAGTCGCCCCCGGTCCTCCCCGTGGGGCAGCCGCCCCGCTCCTCGGCCCGGCCCCCGGCTTGTTGTCGCTGGCCCGTCGTCGCCCCCCTCGGGGAGGTCCCGGCCGGAGACGGGGTGGCGGGAGTTGTCGGTGCCGGTGGACGGGGACACTCCTGTCACCGCGCCGAGGGGCGAGCAGGGCCGGAGAGCTCTGAGGGGACTTTCGTCAGGTCCTGGAGGACAGAGGACGCGCCCCCTCGGGCTCCTGGGGAAGGGTGCTCGCCGCCGCCGTCGCGCCGAGGGGGGAACGGGGACGGCCATGGACAGGCCCGTCTCCCTCGTGTCCGTGCCGCGTTAGCGGGTGTTTGCCGAGTGCCGGTTATACGCCGAGTTTTGGAAATCCTGTTAGCAAGGCGCCTGCGGACGCGGCGTTGCAGAGTTTGTGCGGGGGGCGGGGGGTAGTATTTCTGAAACTTGCTGAACGTAACCTGATTTCGTTGAGTCCTCGGACATCAGAGGAGACCATCAGGGGACATCAGCGGCTCTCTGACGGCCTTCCCACGTTTCAGTTATGCAGCGGATCCGGAGAGGTCACCGCTCCAGGGCCGCGCGCGCAAGCGCTGAACTTTGGGTTTTGTTGCTTCTAAGTGATGGCCGGGTTTCTTCCCGGGCGGGCGCTGCCAGGGAGAGGAAACGTTTACGTTTTCAGAAGACTCGTTGGGGCGGGGTTTTAAAAAACGTGCCGCCCGGTAGCGTGGTGCTCGCTGCCCTTGGAAGTCAGGCTCGGTAGAGCTCGTCTCCGCGCGTCCACCCCTGAAAGACTTGGAGCCGGGGATTAGATCCTTCCCTCTCAGAATTCGGGTTAAATAATTGCTCGTCTTCCAACTGTCCTTCACACATGACCTTTCTGGTCTTGCTCGTCCTACGCGTTTGTTGAGAAGCGGCGATGCGCGGGGAGCCCTGTTCTAAGTTTTGGGGTTACCCGCTAGGTGAGGTTCCCCGTTGGGAGAAAGGTTACTGAGTGAGCAACCGGGAAGGAAACGCCCCGTAGGGGTAAGCGCTCTGAGCGAGGAGTGGCTGGAAGAGGGGCGCTGTGGGCGAAGGGTGGTGGGTGAAGCCTTCGGGGAAGGCCTCTTTGCAGGAGGTGGTGTTTGAGCAGGAACGTGGGTCATGGGAAGAGCCGGTCCTGTGGAGGCCTGGGGAGGAGTCTCTGTGCCGGGGGAACGGGAGGTGCCAGTGCCCCACTGTGGGGATGCACTTGGCCTGTCGGAGAAGCAGGAGCCCAGGTGTGGAGGACATAAGCTCAGCGAGCGGGGAGGATGGGGGCGGGTGATGAATGCTTCCTCACGTCCGTGCAGCGTCATTACTGCTGCCGCCAGACTGGGGGACATTAATTACAGAACAAAGTCCGCTAATCCGGTAACTATGACTTTCAAAAGTATCATTGCTTTATTATTGAATGTCAGCTGTTTAGTCAGTTATTTATGTACTTTTGTTCTTTGTAAAAAATATATATTATTAAAAAAATAATGTCTTTATTGATTTCAGAGAGAGGAAGGGAGAGAGAGAGAGACATCAATGATGGGGAAGGGTCATTGATCGGATGCCTCCTGCACGCCCCCTACTGGGGGTCTAGCCTGCCATCTGGACATGTGCTCTGACCCGGAATCCAACCTCCATCTCCTGGATCATAGGTTGAGTACTCAAGCACCCCTTCTAATGGCTTGCTTTTTAAAATTTCACTTAAACAGATGGAGTTGTTCTATGTATTAATTATAACCCATAATACTTGAGGCTTGCTGTTTTTTCTTTAAGTGAATTAGTTTTCTCTTGTGTAAAACATGGTAGTTGTACATATGTACAAGGAAAAAAATCCAGAGGATATGTTAACAGTAGGGTTAGGATTGCAGAATATTTTTATTTTCTATATTACATATTCACACAAGGTTTTAAATTTTTTTAATGTGAGCATGTGTTATTTTTGTCAGCAGAAAAACAATTCGGGTAAATATATTTTAAAATAAAGTCTCTTCATTCTCTCTAGTGGCTTTCTGACAGGAAGAAGCGAGCACTGCAGAAGAAAGATGTTGGTGAGTATTGTTTTTCCTACTTCAGCTACATTCATAATCCATGTTGTAAACCTTTCACTCATTTATTGTTTACTATACTTACGTGAAGGTTTACAAATACGCAGTGGAAGACAAACTTTTTGCCCTTTCCCTTCTTAAGAAATCTTTTTTGTGGTTGGAATGTTCCTGGTGAGTGTGGGATTTGATTTTAACTGCTTAAAAGCTAATAAGTTAGCCTTTTACTGTTTCATGGATAATAGCAGAAGATGTGATACTCCTGGGCCAGAGACAAGGACTCCATTTCTCACATGACATAGCATATAGTACGCATGTCAGCATATCTGTCATTCCTACTTCCCCTTAAGCCCCATGGGGCACTGGGTATGACCCTGATGGATGTCTTTATGCAGTGGGTTTGTGTTGCAACTGAGGAACACCAAGTCTGGGAAGCCCACTGCTTTTATAGCAAGCAGTAAGAAAACCTGCTCTTTGTCTAGAGGAGACATGTTATTGTACCTGTCAAGGTTCCCAGCTTCATATATAACCCTGAGAAATGGCTCAGGTAAAGGAGTGGCCAGGGTCTGGCTGTCCTGCCATACCCAACAAGATGTATAGGAATGTCAGAGACCCAAGGGGGATTGTTTCCTAACAGTTCCACAATTGCTTTGTTCTCCAGTGTGTCAAAATCTTTTTCCATTTGTTAAATCCATTTGCAGTATTTGCAATATAGAGACAATTAACATTTTCTTCTGAATAAAGTAATTTTACATACAGGACATGTGAACATGAGCAATAAAAGATCATTGCAGAAGATTTTGATTCTTTAAGTTATGGCAGCAGGGAAGATAGGCATGTAAGATCAGTTTTTAACTCAAATTATTTTGGACAAATTTTCATTATATTTTCTCTGTTGTAGTTTGTCATAAATGACACATGACTTATATTCCCATATGTTTTATTTGTTATTCTCTAAAAATCAAAGACCTATATTAAAGGGTTTTTCTGGATGTTTAATAAATACCCCAAGGCAGGCATCTTGGAAGACTGGGCTTTATATAGTACTAAAGTTCGAAAATTCAAACTTTACATCCTAGGAGTACAAAAATTGCTGCTTTGGTAATGTTTACTGGTTCTGATTTTTTCTAATTCTCTCCTTCTAGTCGAGTGTTCTAGTATGTAAGAAAATAGATTCAGATTACTCAGGGGGGAAAATGGCTCACTGACATTTCTGCCAACCCATCTCAAAACTATCATGTCTTCCAGATTGAGTGGGCTGAATCTTATATTTGTATTTAATAGACAAGGTAGTACTGGGCCATAGAGTCATAAATAGTCCTTATAATGGGCACATTATTATGATAGCAACCAGCAAGAGTCCACACTTCTTGTAGGAGAGAACCAGTTTTTGTGAGTCTGTTAGGGTTTTGGTTCAGAGAGCTCTCCAAGTCTTCTTCTAGCTTGAATCCTCTTGGCTGTAGATCAGTGCTGCCAACAGGGGCAACTTGGTAGCCATTTCTTATATAAACTTAGGATTTTGAAAGTTTAAAATTGTTATTATTTAGGAGGAAAAAAAATGGTAAAATTTTTGTCTTAGTCATGATTGAGTAATGATAGCGGTTTGATGTTTATTCTGTTGCCCCATTATCCAAGTCTTAAAACCAAATGTTTTTCAATTAGTGATGATACTTTTTCTTTTGAAAAATTAAAATAAGATACTTAGCTTAGAAAAATAATGTATGAGCTGAGAAGAAACCTTGCTGTGTAGTGGTGTGCTACATTTGTGGGTTTTCCCAAGGCTTGGAATGTGTGATCTTGCAGACCTGGCTGTAGTGACGGCTCTGCAGGCTGTGTCTTCCTGTGATATAGAGTAATCATGTGATAATTAGATCAGCTGCGTATTTTCTCTCTTCGTAGATGTCCGGAGGAGAATCGAACTTATTCAGGATTTTGAAATGCCTACTGTTTGTACCACTATTAAGGTTTCAAAAGATGGGCAATATATTTTAGCAACTGGTAAGCATCTTTTTGGTAATGATTTATGTAAATTTCATATCAGGAAATATTGTGATGGCATAGGTCACTTTTTAAATTACTCTAACACTTTATTATAAAAAAATTTAAAACATATAAAAATATTGAAAAAATTATACAGTGACCATCCATTTACCCACCCCCTGGAGTCTTCAGTAGTTTGCCATATTTGCTTCATTATATGTTTTTCTGTCCATCCATCCCCCATCCTGGTTTTGAATGCATTTCAGAGCAAGTTGCAGATACCAGTATACTCCACTCCTAAATACCTAAGCGTGTATATCATTAACTCAAGTTCGGTATTTATTTATGGCTTTTTAAGGTAAATTCACATACAGTGAAATGCATACCACTGGATGAGTTTTGACAAATGGGACACCTGTGTAGCTCAAACCCCTGTCAAGGTTTAGAACATTCCTTTTACCTAGAAGCTTCCTTCACACCCCTTACAGTTGACCCTGCTCCACCTGTGCACAGGCAACCTCTGCTCTGATTTTTATTTTTATTTTACAAGCTTAGCCTGTTTTAGAACTTTATATAAATGCAGTCATACACTATGTGTTCTCTTTGTGTAAGACTCTTTCCCCTTGGACTTCGTATTTGAGATTCACATGTTGTTACATGTACCAGTATTTTGACCTGTTTTATTAGCAAACAGCATTTCCTCATAGGACTTTACCACGTTTTACTATCCTTGTGCACTGGGTGGATACCTGGCCTATTTCCTCTTTTGGCTTTTACTGATAAAGCACTATGTGCAGTCTATTTTGAGGACATTGCTAGGTCATAAAGGTAGGCATGTGTTGAGTTTAATAAAAAGACACCAGACATTTTTCCAAAGTGGTCAGGTCATGTTACATTCCCACCCAGAAAGGTCACCCTTAACATAATTTTCTGTCACATACTTAACATTTTTATGTCACTAAGATTTTATGTTAGCATTATTCATCAGTATCAAAGAGCCATGAATATGGGAACATTTAATGTATTATAATTTAGAGCAACATTACCCAACCATTTTTGGTTTGATTTTTGTATATATATCCTGTGTATTGTCCACACACATTTTTTTGCGGCCTAACATCATCCATTTATGTCCCTTTTTCAACCACTTTCTTATTTGACAGAACTTTATACAGCTACATGCTTATCTCTTTGTTCTGTGTAATGGTTGTCTCAGTAGTAACACTGTCCACATTTCTTAGCCTCCAGTTTCATGTTTAGCTAACATAGTTTTATGTATGTAAGTAATTACATACAATATACACACTGCATATTATATATTATATGTACTTTATATTGTATATGTAACATGTATACTATATATTATATATGTAACAGTATACTACATACAGTCATGTGCTTCATAATGATGTTTTGGTCAACGACAGGCTATGTATACATGGTCCCATTAGATTAAAATGGAGCTGACAAATTCCTATCACCTAGTGATGTCTTAGCCATTGTAACATCATAGCACAACACATTGCTCACGTTTGTGGTGAGGCTGGAATAAACTGTACTGTGCTGTCAGTCGTGTAAAAGTACAGCACGTACAATTATAGTCGTGGGCTGTACCAGCTAGGTCTGTGTGAGTGCACCCTGTGCTGTTCCCACAGTGATGAAATCGCCTAACGATGCATTTCTCAGAACGTGTCACCATTGTTGAGTGGCATGTAACCATATACTATGTGTGTGTATATATATTTATACATTGTACTATTTTAAAGTGAGACCTTGGGCTTTGATACATGCCAGTAAACATGGGACTGCCACATTCTTTTCTTTTTGAAATATCTTTATTGGTTTTTAAAGATCTTTCTTTTTGATTGCAAACATGATAAACATGTAAAACGCAAGCACTGCGGAAGCACATAAGATAAAATGTGAAGGGCCCTAGCCTTGCATTGTGCACATTCCTCCAACAGTTTGTAGTAATCACCAACAGAGTGTGAAAGCACTTTCTTTAACACCCGCACCAGCACCGTGTTAGCCGTCTTTTCACCTCTGCCATTCTGATGGACAGCGATTTCAGTGTTTAGTCTACTGCGTTAGATTATTCGTGAGGTGTGTTAATTATTTGTATTTCATTTTCTGTAACTTGCTTGTTTATATTCTTGTTCATTTCCCCTTGGGACGTTGGGGAGGGCTGCTTCTAAATTATTTTCCTTTGATATGGTTATAGTGAATCCTACTTACCTCTGAGCAAAGTCTACTCAACATACTGCAGGATATTGAGAATGAAAAGTATGTTCTTTAGGTTTTACCTCACATTAATTTTTTTATAGGAACATATAAACCTCGAGTTCGATGCTATGACACCTATCAATTATCCTTGAAGTTTGAAAGGTGTTTAGATTCAGAAGGTAAGTAGGAAGTTAAATTTGAATTCATGAAAATAGCTTTTTATATTTGGCTGCCTTTCTGCTTGTTAAGATGGGAATGGGTTGTGTATTAGTTTTCTTTGCTGTGTAACAAATTGCCTAAACATCCACTTACTAGCTCACAGTTCTGTGGGTGAAGTCCATCAAGACTTTGCCGCAGTCGGCCAGGTTGAACTCTTATCCAGAGGCTCTGGGTGAGAATCCACCTCCATACTTTCAGGGTGGCAGGGTGCAGTTTGTTGCATTTGTAGGACTTGGGTCCTGTTTCCTGCTGGCTGTCAGCCTGGGGCCACTCTCAGCTTTTAGAGGCTGCCGACATTCCTCGTCACCTGGTCCCCTCCATCTTCGAACCAGCTACGGCTCACTGGATCCTCTTGTTCTCCTTCTCACTTCCCCTTCTGCTGCAGGCGGGAGAAAACTCTGCTTTTAAAGGGCTCATGTGATTATAAGTCTCCCTTTTGCCTTATAATATGACTTAATCACAGGAGTGGTGTCTCATCACATTCACAGGTTTCATCCACACTCTCCAGAAAAGGGAACTGTATACAGGGAAAGTCAGTGGGGGGCCATTCTGCCTAGCACAGAGGGTGGCCTAAAATGGGAAATTTCAGGTATTTTTTATCAGGTGGCCTCATGTTTTCCCTCAGATTGAGGGAAAAGGGTGGGATATGTATCCTCCTAACTTGTTCCACCCAATACAAACTCTGTGTGCTGCTAATAACAACTGCTTTCACTCCTTATTTTTGTTTACCAGATATACTGTGAATGAATAAAAGGTTACTGTTATCTTTTTAAGCAACAATTTTTTAATGTTCTTTAATGTCTATTTTATTTTGAACATCTCAGAAAAACTGTGGGAAAATTTAGAAGTCATTATGTTTTGTAAATTATCTATTTTTAATTGCCTTCAATTCTGCAGAAAATCTAGTTGATCAGTACTGAGAAATGGTAAAGCTTTAAACTCTTCATTTGGTGTTATGGGAGCAATATAATATGGCAACTTTGTTCTTGTTTTATGTGGGTGCGAAAACGGAAAAAAAGCCCAGCATTTGTATATAATTTTTGTGTTGAATTAGAATCATTGCATTAAGTTTGCATTTTTATTAAAAAACTTGAGAATTGATGATTGTTTTTTTCCTACTATTTCTTATTTTTCAGTTGTCACCTTCGAAACACTGTCTGATGACTATTCAAAGGTATGCTCGATTGGTTTGCACTGGCTATCCTCAAGGCTTGGGTGGGTGGGACTTATTTCTATGATAAGAATAGTTAAAAATGACTGTGTAGTAAAACCTTTCATTTTCTATTAATATATTTTTAGTTTGTCACATGTATAATATATAGTATCTTTTAAAACAGTGAAAGAGATAGCTTTTGTCCAGTCTAATATAAAAAATATGAAACCTTAATCTGTCTATATATATTTTTTAGATATATCTTAATTGATTTCAGAGAGAGGAAGGGAGAGGGAGAGAGAGAGATGGAAATATCAATGATGAGAGAGTCATTGATCGGCTGCCTCCTGCACACCCCTGACTGGGGATCGGGCCCGCAACCCGGGCATGTGGCCCAACCGGAAATCGAACCCCGATTGCCTAGATCCTAGGTCGATGCTCAACCGCTGAGCCATGCCCAGCCGGGCCTTAATCTGTATTTTTAAGAATTGGTAGCAGTCATGTTTTGTAGACCATCTTAGAGTCTAGGTATGTCATTTCATTATTGCATTAAAACTAGTGTTATTTGCCAGGTTGCTTTCATATTCATATGTGAAAAGTAAAATAGCAGTGTTGTATGTTTAATTTTATTAACCCTGCAAATAAGTGATATGGCATATTCTGAGACAGGTCAGAACAGCCACCTATATACATTTTTTTCTTTCCTTGCCTTATTTAATTTTAATGAAAAACGTTTAATGATGTCAGATGTTTTCTTAAAGGAAATTGAGTTTTCTGGGCTGACATGGCTACATACGTATTGTGCTCAGTTCTGGAAACTGGTGTACAGTTTACCCATTTGCCTGTGGCAGCCATTTGTCGTGTATTTGGGGACATGTAATTTTATGATGTATTTCGTCTAGATATTCATAATTTGCTTTTAAATACTACCTGCAGATTTTAAAGATAACTTTGTAATACATTAAAGTTGAGTTTATACAAATTTATCAAACCCTATGGTGAGATTATTAAAATGGGAAATTACTCATTGAGGTTACTGAGCAGTGCTCTGTGTTATAAAGTGTTGTTGCCACATAAACGAAGGGCGTTTGTTTTAGGCCTTTCATTTACAAGGTAAGGTTTGCAGAAAAACTGCCTAAGATGCAGGACGGCATTTGGTGCCCACTGGAGAGGTTTGGTTCTTAATCACAATTTTTAATCATGATGGAAAGTTGTGTGTAAATACATGTGTGTTTACAGAGAGAAAGAAGGAGGGTGAGAGGGATCAGAGGTTTCCTTGCTTTGCTAGTTTAGCGCTGAAATAAACACTTTACCTGGATCCTAAGCAAACAGATTTTCTTGTTTCATTTTCAGATTGTCTTCTTACATAATGACAGATACATTGAATTCCATTCCCAATCAGGGTTTTACTACAAAACCAGAATTCCAAAGTTTGGGAGAGATTTCTCTTACCATTATCCAAGCTGTGACTTATACTTCGTTGGCGCAAGGTATTGGGTCTAACACCCTTTGTTTTCTCATTTCCCCAGATGACTCTGTTGAGTTGAGGAGAGGAATTGAAAGAATACGCCATGATCCCTGCCTTTCATTTGCTCACGGTGTAGCTCCAAAGTGACTGGCTCTTGTAGGAACTGCATCCTTGACTCATTAGCGTGGCACTCTAAATCTAGAGAGAGACGTGGGGAGCCTAATGGGGTCATATTAGTGGGGAAGTCAGTTTATTAACACCATTGCGTGGTATTTAAAAGCTTTTATCCTTAAATGCTGCCTTCTTTGTGATTATAAAAATAATACATATCCATTTTAGAAAATTGGAAAATATAAAAAAGCATAAAGAAGAAAAAATCACTCATACCTTCCAGAGGAAACCCTCATGAGTCTTTTATTGTATCTCCTTCTAGTCTTGTCTTATATACCCATCCAGATACATTTTGGATCTAGCATTCCCCATGGTGTTTATAAATAATAGTCTACCTGTTGACTTCGTAATATTTCCTTGGCACATCGGTGGTTTAAATCACTTTTGTACTGGAACAAACACACACATAAAGTGATTATTTTTTAGGTTTAGAGTCCACTTTTGTATTTCACAAAAGGAAGTGATGCCTTATGAGTGATACACACACATACACACAGAAGTAGTTTCACAGTTGTGAGTACACATACAGTTCATATAGAAAATAATACAATTAGTAAATAATGCAAGAATAAATTTTGTGTACTCACAGCTGTAAACCTACTTTTGCCCACCCCTGTATATATATAGTTCTAAAAATTGTTTATTTGAAGAAACATTTATTGTAGTTTACCATATTTTAAACTTTGTGTATTACTTTGCAGCTCTGAAGTTTATAGATTAAACTTAGAACAAGGACGGTACCTAAATCCTTTACAGATGGATGCTGCGTGAGTATTTTGTTTTAAGAACCCTGCGGTATTTATTTTGGCCAGGAGATGGAGCCAGATGCTCAAGTTATTATCAAACAATGTATTGCATTTAAGCAATACTCCGGGCAACTTAATTAAAAGGAGTAGCATTAAGTTTTTTCTTTAAAGAAATCACTAAAAGTCCTGGTGATTTCTCAGAATTTTTAATTTTTAAAAAATATACTCAAGATTTAAAACTCACTAAATTTTTCAGTTTATTTTTTGTAGTGTTCTTTAAATTTTCATTCATGATTTTGTTTTATGATATCTTGCGGAGAAATTTTGAATTAACTTGGTGTAACATTTAAAATGTTTTATTTTTTATGTTTTTGCTAGCAGAAGTTTAAGGCTTTTTCATTTTCCTTTTATCATACGTTATTGTCTACACTTGTTTTATTTAAAGAGAGGTCCTTTAAGAATGAATGTCATGCCCGGCTGGGCATGGCTCAGCGGTTGAGCATTGACCTAGGATCCAGGAGATCAGGGTTCGATTCGCGGTCAGGGCACATGCCCGGGTTGCGGGCTAGGCAGCCGATCAATGACTCTCTCATCATTGATGTTTCCATCTCTCTCTCTCCCTTCCTCTCTCTGAAATCAATAAAGATATGTTTAAAAAAAAAAAAATGAATGTCATAATAATAATTATATTGAGTAATAGTAACAACAATAATAGTGAAGGGGCTTACTATGTCAGGCAGTATTCAGTGTTTTATATACAGTAACTCATGTTAAGTACCAAATTTTTAAGGTAGGTGCTATTATTAGCTCCATTCTACAGATAGGGCTGCTGAGGCTCAGAGAGGGCAAGTAGCTTGTCCAAGTCACACAGCTAGTAAAGGATGGAAGCTGGGTTACATATATGTATATAAAGAGCTTGTTGGGTTTTCCTTATTGCTTTAAAAGGGTTTTTAAGGGTTGGAAGAACATGTAGTGATAAAAATCAGGTTAAATTCTCAGTATTTCTTTTCACATTGACTTGAAATGCTCTTATTTTTAAAATGATAGTCACTTCATGGTGCGTTGTTGAATAATAAAAAGTTATCTGCTCTTTAGCTGCACAATCTTCTGTTTATAATAGCCATTATTATTGAGTGTCTTGTAAGCTCTGGACGCTATGTTGAATAGTCTGTAATTTTTCCATTTAACCCTCCCAACAACTAAATGAGGTAGGTGACGTATCCATTCTACAGACAAAGAAATGAGGCCTAGAGCTGTACCCCCGACATGAGCTAGTCAGGTCTCAGGGCTGGCACAGGTACAGCCTGCGTTTTTGCCTTGGGAGAAAGCAGAATGACCCTTTTATTGTCATGGCCCTGGATTAGTATTTCAGCAGGAAGTACTCCCTGTCTCATCCCCTGGGAGACCGAGCATCTCCCCAGGGGTCAGACACTGTGGTCGCTTGTGCCAGACACTTAACCCTTTCATGCCTCGGTGTTTTTCACAGGCAGGTAAGCGAGAAAGCCTGTGTCTTCTTTCTCCATGGTATTTGGTTACTGAGGAAGTTAACTGGGTACCCTTCTCCTAAAGTCGACGCTAACGTGCTCCCCCTCACCACTTCACTGTTCTAGGGAGAGTAACGTTTGTGACGTAAATGCCGTGCATGGCTTGTTTGCCGCAGGAACAGTAGAGGTAAGTGTAACTGGCTTGATTTTTTTTAAGTATTTGTTCTACATTTGATAGTGACCAAACTTTTATTTAAGGACAGAGTTGCTTCGTTCCTAAGATCGGTGCTAATGAAGCAACGAGCCACTGTTGCACTTTTTATATGGAATGTTGTTATGGTTGCCACAGGCTGCCCTGCCCCACCATGCATTTGATGCCCACGCTTTGACATTGACTTTCTGGAGCTCGATGGGCAGTCACTGCTGGATCCTAGCTTCTGGAGAGCTATGTGACAGTCATCCTTGTTTGTAACAGGACACTGTGTCATGGAGCCCCAGCGCTCTGCTGCTTGTTAGTTTGATGACTGAATTACTTCTGAGGCTATTTCCTTATTGGTTAAATGGAGATAATAATCCTTACCTTGCCAACTTTATAAATGTGCTAGTGAGAGTCAGTGAAGCATCTGTATGAAAAAAATATTATGGACTGGAAAGGCAGATGGGATTGTGGTTTGTGTGTCCTGGATAGTACCATTCAATAGTACCATACAACACTTCCTTTCAAACTGCTGTACCTCTGAATCTGTGTCCTTCATACTTGTCAAGAAGTTTAAAAAGTATCCTCTGTGCCTTTCAGTCACCAAACTGCACACCCGGAGGGGACTCGTTAGTGACTTGCAGTATTACCCCTTCAGTGTTTCTCCTGTGTATGTGCAGGTACACATATGTGTCAGTAATACGTTTTTCAAAGTTTTTTACAAAAATGAAATTTGTGGTTCTCCATTTGCTTTTTTTTTTTTTTTAACGTGATGGTATATAAATGTGCATTTTTATACATTGGTACTTAAAATTACTTACAATACAAAACTAATATTTGTAAATGGATGGGCAGATTCCATTGTTTGAATGTTCTGTCGTTTATTAAATTAATCCTACATGGATGAAAGTTAGGTCTTTACTCAAGTTATTCTTATGTTAGGAGATTAGGAATTGAAATGGGGCACATGATGTTGATTTAGTGGAAATACGTAAAACTATATTGAGTATGTTAATAGTGTTATGCCTAAATCAGGCCAGTGAGGCATACTGTTGATAATTACTTTACTTGAGATTACCAAGGGGAAGTTTTTAAATAGTTTTTTTTTAAAATAGGTTTTTTAAAATATATCTTTATTGATTTCAGAGAGAGGAAGGGAGAGGGAGAGAGAGAATTGAAACATCAATGATGAGAGTTGTCATTGATCGACTGCCTCCTGCACACCCCCGACTGGGGATGGAGCCCACAACCCGGGCATGTGCCCTGACTGGTAATTGAAGCGCGATCTCCTGGATCCTAGGTCAGTGCTCAACCGCTGAACCATGCCCAAACGGGCTGAAAAAATTGTTTTTAAATAGAGTCTTTACAGAGCAGTGTAGGCTAATATCAGGAAAATGCTCTGAAAGGAAGTTATATATTGAGGCAGGCTACACAGACCAGCCCTGAGACACAGTGAGGGGGAACAGACCCTCCAGCCCAAAGACTGGGGCTCCTGAAATTCCTTGATTGTTGGGCTCAGGATTTGATTTGCATAGTCAGCCCAGACTTAACAGTTCATGTTTACATTAATTTTGAAGATGTGTTGAATTTTTATTTCTTCTGTGTCAGTTACTATAATATTATTTGTTATTGTTGGCAAAATAAGACAGTGAGGGCTTGCGTTCTGTACTTTGTGAGGTTAGCAATAGAAATAGTCACAGTTAGGCCACAAAATCGTTGTGGTTAGAAATGTGACTTTTTTTTTGTCTGTAAAGTCTGTTAACTCATTTTGAAGAGATGTAAAAGGCCAGACCTTGGAGTTCCCTGCTGCATGTTTATGAGATTTCTCTTCCTTTACTTAAGTCAGCGATTTTCAGCCTGTTTCATCTCATGGCACATAAACTAATTCCAAAAATGCAGCACACCAAAAATATATTTTTTGCCAATCTGACAAAAAAAGAGGTATAATTTTTATTCATTCACACAGGACAGCTATTGCTGTGTTGGCTGTTGTCATTTTTTAAATTTGACATTCTAAGGGAAAAGAGATCAGTGCCTCTGACTAAATAGTCAGGTACTGCATGTTTTAAAAATTCTTGAGACATAACTCTATGCCTCTTGCTGCACATGGGTTGAAAATCACTGCTTTAAATCTTTGTGAGACACATTAGTAATAATAGTAAATGACTTAATGAGGTCAAGCCTTCCACGTATATTCAACGTCTTGCTTTTAAGATGGTTAATATTGTAAACCAATCTTTGTGTATGTTTATATTTTTTATCATTAGGACTTTTTTTTGGTATCTAAATATTTACTAGTAGCAGCTATTATTTGAAGTTGCTGGTTTCTGTTCATTTAGGGTCGAGTGGAATGCTGGGACCCACGAGTTCGAAGCAGGGTTGGCCTCTTGGACTGTGCGTTGAGTAGCGTCACAGCAGATTCAGAGTAAGTAGAAATAAATTTGTAGCTTAAATATCCGCTTCTGATTACAGATGTATCAATATTAAATTAAAATCAGTTACTGGCCTGGCCGGGCGTGGCTTAGCAGTTGAGTGTCAACCTGGGATCCAGGCGATCAGGGTTCTATTCCCAGTCAAGGCACATGCCCGGGTTGCGGGCTC